CAGAACATCAGCCACCCTGCTCAGTGGCACAGAACATCAGCCACCCTGCTCAGCGGCACAAAACATCAGCCACGCTGCTCAGTGTACAGTACAGAACGCCAGTCACCCTGCTCAGCGGACAGTACAGAACATCAGCCACGCTGCTCAGTGGACAGTACAGAACATCAGCCACCCTGCTCAGTGTACAGTACAGAACGCCAGTCACCCTGCTCAGTGGCACAGAACATCAGCCACCCTGCTCAGTGGACAGTACAGAACATCAGCCACCCTGCTCAGTGTACAGTACAGAACGCCAGTCACCCTGCTCAGTGTACAGTACAGAACGCCAGTCACCCTGCTCAGCGGACAGTACAGAACATCAGCCACCCTGCTCAGTGGCACAGAACATCAGCCACCCTGCTCAGTGGACAGTACAGAACATCAGCCACCCTGCTCAGTGGCACAGAACATCAGCCACCCTGCTCAGTGGACAGTACAGAACATCAGCCACCCTGCTCAGTGGCACAGAACATCAGTCACCCTGCTCAGCGGACAGTACAGAACATCAGCCACCCTGCTCAGTGGCACAGAACATCAGCCACCCTGCTCAGTGGACAGTACAGAACATCAGCCACCCTGCTCAGTGGCACAGAACATCAGCCACCCTGCTCAGCGGCACAGAACATCAGCCACGCTGCTCAGTGTACAGTACAGAACGCCAGTCACCCTGCTCAGCGGACAGTATAGAACATCAGCCACCCTGCTCAGTGGCACAGAACATCAGCCACCCTGCTCAGCGGACAGTACAGAACATCAGCCACGCTGCTCAGTGGACAGTACAGAACATCAGCCACCCTGCTCAGTGGCACAGAACATCAGCCACCCTGCTCAGCGGACAGTACAGAACATCAGCCACGCTGCTCAGGACAGTACAGAACATCAGCCACCCTGCTCAGTGTACAGTACAGAACGCCAGTCACCCTGCTCAGTGTACAGTACAGAACGCCAGTCACCCTGCTCAGCGGACAGTACAGAACATTAGAACATTAGAACATAACATTAGATTAGAACATCAGCCACCCTGCTCAGTGGCACAGAACATCAGCCACCCTGCTCAGTGTACAGTACAGAACATCAGCCACCCTGCTCAGTGTAGAGTACAGAACATCAGCCACCCTGCTCAGTGGCACAGAACATTATGGCATTATGAACTAGATTAGATTAGATTAGAACATCAGCCACCCTGCTCAGTGGCACAGAACATCAGCCACCCTGCTCAGTGTACAGTACAGAACATCAGCCACCCTGCTCAGTGTAGAGTACAGAACATCAGCCACCCTGCTCAGTGGCACAGAACATTATGGCACAGACATTAGAACATTACAGAACATAGAACATTAGTGTCAGGAAGTAGGGGTGATTTGACTGAGTTAGTGTCGCGGATGGAGAGCTGCCTTGCGTCGCTCGACTTATGGTTCAGGGGTAACTCCCTGAAGGTGAATGCTTCCAAGACGCAGCTGATGGTGTTCGGCAGCCGGCGGAACCTCCGTAGCGTTCCCACGCTCGAGGTGCGGTTCCGCGGCGAGAGTCTCCGTCCGGAGCCTACGGCGCGCAACTTGGGTGTCGTTTTCGACCCGATATTGTCTTGGGACGCTCATGTCGCACATGTCGTGAACAAGTGTTTTGGAATGTTGATCGGTCTTAGCCATATTCGACATCACTTGCCTCAAAATGTAGTTCCTACTATCGTACACGGTCTCGTCCTGTCACATGTCAGATACTGTTTAACTGTTTATGGCAACGGCTCAGACAAAAACCACAAACAGCTCCAAAAAGTCATTAACTTCTGTGCCAGGGTTATAGCTGGCAGGCGCAAGTTTGACCACATCTCTGACATCTTAAGTGGTCCTGACTGGCTTACCGCTAAGCAACTGTCGGAGTTTCATACTTTAACCCTCGCTCATCGCATCTTACGATCGGGAGAGCCGTCTACACTTGTTTCACTTTTTAGAAGAGTGTCTAGTTTACGTGACCGACCCACGCGACAAGACAGCCATTTTTATCTACCTCGTGTCAGGTCAGAGGCAGGACGGCGTCAGTTTGCGTACCGAGCCCCACAGCTATACAACAGTGTGCCGGAACGGCTGACTACGCTCAGCACGGACGTTTTCAAGCGGAACTTGAGGCGTACTCTGAAGTGAGAAGTGACTACCGTGTGGTGTGTGATGCTTTTACCATTGTATGAGCAGGTGTGTTTCCAATTTTGTAAACTTGTTCGTATCTCTTACTGCCCTGTATGACACTGGACCAAGAATAGCCACAGCTGCAGTGGATGGTTCAAAGATGTGCAATAAATAAATAAATAAATAAATAAATAAACATCAGCCACCCTGCTCAGTGGCACAGAACATCAGCCACGCTGCTCAGTGGACAGTACAGAACATCAGCCACCCTGCTCAGTGGCACAGAACATCAGCCACGCTGCTCAGTGGACAGTACAGAACATCAGCCACCCTGCTCAGTGGCACAGAACATCAGCCACCCTGCTCAGCGGACAGTACATAACATCAGCCACCCTGCTCAGTGGACAGTACAGAACATCAGCCACCATGCTCAGTGTACAGAACATCAGCCACCCTGCTCAGTGTACAGTACAGAACATCAGCCACCCTGCTCAGCGGACAGTACAGAACATCAGCCACCCTGCTCAGTGTACAGTACAGAACGCCAGTCACCCTGCTCAGTGTACAGTACAGAACGCCAGTCACCCTGCTCAGCGGACAGTACAGAACATCAGCCACCCTGCTCAGTGTGCAGTACAGAACGCCAGCCACCCTGCTCAGCGGACAGTACAGAACATCAGCCACCATGCTCAGTGTACAGTACAGAACGCCAGTCACCCTGCTCAGTGTACAGTACAGAACGCCAGTCACCCTGCTCAGCAGACAGTACAGAACATCAGCCACCCTGCTCAGTGGCACAGAACATCAGCCACGCTGCTCAGTGGACAGAACAGAACATCAGCCACCCTGCTCAGAGGCACAGAACATCAGCCACGCTGCTCAGTGGACAGTACAGAACATCAGCCACCCTGCTCAGAGGCACAGAACATCAGCCACCCTGCTCAGCGGCACAGAACATCAGCCACCCTGCTCAGCGGACAGTACAGAACATCAGCCACCCTGCTCAGCGGCACAGAACATCAGCCACCCTGCTCAGTGTACAGTACAGAACATCAGCCACCCTGCTCAGTGTACAGTACAGAACGCCAGTCACCCTGCTCAGTGTACAGTACAGAACGCCAATCACCCTGCTCAGCGGACAGTACAGAACATCAGCCACCCTGCTCAGTGGCACAGAACATCAGCCACCCTGCTCAGCGGACAGTACAGAACATCAGCCACCCTGCTCAGTGGACAGTACAGAACGCCAGTCACCCTGCTCAGTGTACAGTACAGAACGCCAGTCACCCTGCTCAGTGGCACAGAACATCGGCCACCCTGCTCAGCGAACAGTACAGAACGCCAGTCACCCTGCTCAGTGGCACAGAACATCAGCCACCCTGCTCAGCGGACAGTACAGAACATCAGCCACCCTGCTCAGTGTACAGTACAGAACGCCAGTCACCCTGCTCAGTGTACAGTACAGAACGCCAATCACCCTACTCAGCGGACAGTACAGAACATCAGCCACCATGCTCAGTGTACAGAACATCAGCCACCCTGCTCAGTGTACAGTACAGAACGCCAGTCACCCTGCTCAGTGGCACAGAACATCAGCCACCTTGCTCAATGGACAGTACAGAACATCAGCCACCCTGCTCAGTGTACAGTACAGAACGCCAGTCACCCTGCTCAGTGTACAGTACAGAACGCCAATCACCCTGCTCAGCGGACAGTACAGAACATCAGCCACCCTGCTCAGTGGCACAGAACATCAGCCACCCTGCTCAGCGGACAGTACAGAACATCAGCCACCCTGCTCAGTGTACAGTACAGAACGCCAGTCACCCTGCTCAGCGGACAGTACAGAACATCAGCCACCCTGCTCAGTGGCACAGAACATCAGCCACCCTGCTCAGCGGCACAGAACATCAGCCACCCTGCTCAGTGGACAGTACAGAACATCAGCCACCCTGCTCAGTGGACAGTACAGAACATCAGCCACCCTGCTCAGTGGACAGTACAGAACATCAGCCACCCTGCTCAGTGGACAGTACAGAACATCAGCCACCCTGCTCAGTGGCACAGAACATCAGCCACGCTGCTCAGTGGACAGTACAGAACATCAGCCACCCTGCTCAGTGGACAGTACATAACATCAGCCACCCTGCTCAGCGGACAGTACAGAACATCAGCCACCCTGCTCAGGGGACAGTACAGAACATCAGCCACGCTGCTCAGTGGACAGTACAGAACATCAGCCACCCTGCTCAGCGGCACAGAACATCAGCCACCCTGCTCAGCGGACAGTACAGAACATCAGCCACCCTGCTCAGTGGACAGTACATAACATCAGCCACCCTGCTCAGCGGACAGTACAGAACATCAGCCACCCTGCTCAGCGGACAGTACAGAACATCAGCCACCCTGCTCAGTGGACAGTACAGAACATCAGCCACCCTGCTCAGAGGCACAGAACATCAGCCACGCTGCTCAGTGGACAGTACAGAACATCAGCCACCCTGCTCAGAGGCACAGAACATCAGCCACCCTGCTCAGTGGACAGTACAGAACATCAGCCACCCTGCTCAGTGGACAGTACAGAACATCAGCCACGCTGCTCAGTGGACAGTACAGAACATCAGCCACCCTGCTCAGAGTTTAGTGGGTCATCACCACTGCCCCCTGGTTCCACTGCTCGACGACTATTCTATGCACCAGACACAATTTCACTCAACTAAGCCTTCTCTTAGACCCCTCATACCTAAGCTCTGATTTGTGATCACTCGAAACTGACTATTGGCGCCATACCGTCTCGGAGCTGTGTGACCTAACCTGATGTGACCGATGTGTGGCCAGAGCTCGTTGTTCGCGCTGTGCTCGCCTCAGGAGGAGGACATGATCGAGCGCCGGCCGCCGCCCCCTCTGCCCGCCGAGCACCGGGGCCAGCGCATCATGGTCAAGTGCCTACAGCTCAGGTAAGCTGCACCCGTTTCACCATTCCCCATGCGTTGGTGGGCCAGGCCCCACTTATTGTATGGGAGGCTATAGGAGGCTACTAGGGTGACCCGCGTGCTCCGCAACGCGAAAAGGGGTATTTTCGATCGGCGGGTGTTTGGTTGTTCTTGTGTCGGTTGGGTTATCTATCCATTTCGGTCGATTGCTTTTTGACGGCTAAATGTTTTGGTTTGGAAAAAAATATCCACCGCATCGAGGTGCCCGTGTCTGATAAGCATGCTTTCCACTTCAGAATCTGTCAAATGTGTTTTATAATTTAGGTGCGTAGTTTTATGACAAATGAAAGGCGTAGATAATTTTCGCTAAAAATCGTCTTGCAGAGGTTCGAAACATTTATATTTTTAAGAATACTGTTGCTTGTCATGCAAACGTGATGATTGGATCTCGGAGAGAATTGAATGCTCTTTCTAATGATAGCATTTTAAATTGTCAAGCGTATTAGGTTAAGCAGCAAATCCCGTGTAATTATTTAGTGGCACATTAAGGACAAATACCATTTTCTCCAGCGATTATAGGTTGTGATGGGCGGGGAAGCCAGCTGTGGCAAGGAGTTTTCTTCGAACAACTGTTTTCGAGATATAGCCTCGGGCGATTCCTGGAGGTCACGTTTTAACCTTCGCCCCAGTCGGGGGGAGGCATATGTTACCACCCTGTCGCCTTTTTTTTTTGCGCGTGAATAAAAAACCGCGGCGCGTAGCGCCGGGCCGCTTGGAGTAGATTTCTGTACATCGATTTTGGACAATGTGTGAAATTCTTGACCCCAGGTCATGTCAGGTCAGGTCACCAGGTCAAGTTCACTGACCAAGCCTAAAAAAGTTTGCAATCATGTCCAGCCTGCAGTGTTTGTCAGAGAGGTTTTAAACTTGGTGGATACCTAGCTTGATGTTATGGGCGCCTATAATTTGTTTATCTCGGATTTTTTATATCCGTGACCTAAGGTCAGGCCAGTGGTGTGACCTTACCATTATAAACAATGGAGAAAAATGAAAATGCCTCTAGATTCGTGTATACGCATAGGCGTCTTTTTTGCTGATAGCCTCTAGAAAGGTCATCCAAGGTCATTTGAGGCTACAAACAGATTTTTGCCAATAACTGTCGATTGGAAAGAGATAGAACGCTGGGGATCGCCTCATTGTGTCTGTCTTGCTGAGACGCATCGACTGATATGCAACATGACCTTTTCCGGTCAGGTCATGACCTTGACCTGAGGTCAAATTTTCAAGTTGACCTTTCAAGGTCAAATTATAGTTCATTTGACGCGTCTCGGCGAGAGGAACACGATTCTGCCAATGGAAATGTGGCCTTTTTAGTCAAAAGTTATTGTCGAAAAACGCTTTTCGTAAAAACAGCTATTTTTTTAGTTTTTGCCCTCTGGAGGCTAAACCGTTGACCTGAGGTCAATTTTGATGATGACCTTATCAAAAGAAGAGTTTAAAAGCTATCGATTACTTTTCCATGCGTTTTCTAGCTATCATAGTTCCTGGGGTAACGGCAGTTTTCTGAAAAATATGACATTTGTCAAATTTTGACCTTTGATGACCTTTGGTGACCCCAATACTGCTCTAAGATGAAAAATGACTGAAATACTTCATACGTACGCATTGAGCGCTATCGACTGCTTTTTACCGCGTCTTTCTAGCCCTCTTAGTTTTTTAGTTAGAGGTGAGTGGTAACATATGCCCCCCCCCCACTATGGCGAAGTTGGCTGAGACTGCCACTGGGGCGCGGGTTAACGCTTGTTTGGTGGCTTGTGCTCGTAACTCAGAAACTATTGGTTTTCTATGAGGACAACTTTACATCGTTCAACTCGCAATCAACCAGAGAAAGTTTTGGCTGTCTCGGATTTTCAATTTTTGAAGAAAAAAAGTTAATCACGTTACCTCTTGACCTATTATTCGAAGAGTGACATTGATATTTTCCCCACTGAAAGTTGCAATTTTGTCCGATGACGATTAAAGGGCCCTTATTAATTGTCATTCATATGCGATAATAAAAAGTGGCTTTCGGCCTGCGTTGACCTCAGGTCAGGTCATTTTTGTGACCTACCCTTTACCAGTAAAACGCCTTTTGGGCGAAGAACGAGCGAGCGAAATAGTGAGCCCTGCACGTGCGGAAAGGCGAGAGGGTACTTCCAAATGGCTTGTGCAAAGCACCCTTCTAACCGGTCGCTAGTGGTGTGCCAAATTTGAACGCAATCGGCCCAGCCGTTCCTGAGAGCTGGAAGCGGCATTCTGCACTTGCGCACGTGCAAAAGGCTCATAATTGACTTTTGCACGGCACCCTACTAACCGGTCCCCAACCGTGTACCAAATTTGAGCGCAATCGGCCCAGCCGTTCTCGAGATCTGGAAGCGCCCCCTACACGTGCCACGTGCAGTAGCACCCTAACTGCAACACATGGGAATGCATTGCCTGGTGGGTGCCTACCTGTATGCCAAATTTCAGCGAAATCGCCCCAGTAATTACTGAGTTATTGAAATGGGAACAAATTTGGCACCTCTTCTTTTTGCATTTTGCACGTGCAGTGGGGGTCACTCACCCGATATGTTTTTTTCTTGTCGTGAAAGACGTGTGAATGAGCTAGAGTGTGTGAGGGAGAGGTGCCATGAAATAAGCTGAATAGCTTTTGCACCGATCCCAGATTGCCTCATCTCTATTTATGCGAAAATGTTCAATAAAATCGAGCAAACAACAACAACTCTTTGTTGAAGACGCCAATGACGTCTTCAACAATAAAATTCATTGCGTCTTAGCGGCGCTCTTTTTTCATCAGTGAACCAGCCTGATTGGCAAAGTAATTTTGGGTCGGTGTGCGTGACGTGCTGGTGTCTGGATTGGAATGACTTGACTTCCCTGGTGTTGCGTTTTGCTGCAGATTGGAGGTCTCCATCGAGCCAATATTCGCCTCGATGGCACTATATGACGCTGGTCGGAAGAAGAAGATATCGGAGAACTTTTACTTTGACATGAATTCGGAGCAGATAAAGAACATGTTGCGTGCCCACGTGCCGTACGTCGACTTCAGCACGCTGAGCAAGAGCTGCATCTTTGACATCACGTACCCGTCCTCGGACATTTTCCTCGTCATCAAGCTGGAGAAGGTGCTGCAAGGTGACATTGGGGAGTGCTCTGAACTGTACGTCAAAGACGATAAGGTAAGTATCACGGCTATCACGCCCAGTGCACGGTAGGCGATCCGGCCGGTCTAGCCTCGCGAAACCTCAAAGACACTTTTTTCCGAAAATTGGAAAACAAACATTAGTCGACAGTAAATTCATCAATGATTACGGTTAGTGCATTTGCATGGCTCAGGAGACATTTTTTCGTTGACAAAAGTATCGTTTAAGACAGTACTTCACAAGGGGGATAATCACAGCCGATTTTTACGCTCTTTGAAGGTTTTGCGGAACGATGAAATTAGGGGAGAGTGGGGCAAAGCGGCCACCCGGGGTAAAGCGGCCACCCATCGTTTTAGCCCTTCATAGCTGGCGTCGGTCCCAATTTATGTTTTCCAATTATACTTCTCTTCACGGTCGTTCGCATGAGCCAGACCGGGGTTTCAGGCCCATCACCATTGTTCTGTGAAACACGGAAAAGCATTTCTTGCCAGGTTACCAACTATGTTTATAATTTTTAAATGCTATGTTATTTCATAACCGTTTGGAATTTTTTATAAGCGTTCTTGTCCATGCATTGCATGGTTATCGTACATGTATTCTACCAATTTTAATGTTTTTTACCCCACTAATAGCTAAGCTGGAATATTTTTGTCTCGGACGGTATGCACGGGGCAAAGTGGCCGGGGCAAAGTGGCCACCCCCCAATTGGCCATGAGTTGTTACCATCTGGATAAAAACATTATTTATATTCAAATGTGTCGTCATGCATTCATCTTGGCCACTTTTCAGTTGCATGAGTTACCAAATAATGCAATTAAATGCTTTTTTTAATGAAAATCCTTTCTTTGTTTACCTACAGGTGGAAGATGATAAAGTAAACATCCATCCTCGCTCAAACCTTGTCACCATCAAATACCCCAGTCGTACATGAGGCAACTATTTTGTTTCTCATATCGGGACTTGAGAAGATGCCGGTGGCCGCTTTGCCCCGGGGTATGGGGCAAAGTGGCCAATATGCATAGGTTTAAAGTTTGGTCAATATCTTCCATATGTGTACGCCTTTGGAACTAAAACGCAGTTGAAATAAAAGGCAACTTAATAGGGATCACACTGGTATAGAAAGAATCTTTCCAAGTTTAAAAATCAAGCGTTGGCATCGTGAGAAGCGTTAGGGTGGCCGCTTTGCCCCACTCTCCCCTACTAGGTGTTGAACATCCATTTTGCATGAAAAGTGAAATTTAGATGTTTAGACGATTCCCTCATAAAAAGCATGTAGACAAAATCAGTTCAAAATCAATCAATCAATCAATCAATCAATCTTTATTGAGCATCACAAAGTGACAATGCAAAAATGGTTACAGGACAATTTGCCGAACTGCGTTTTGCCGAATGCTTATTCGCCGAATGTCAATATGTCGAATGCATTTTGCCGACGTGTCAAAAAGGCGAAGTGCTAAAAGTCGAAATGCAATTTGCCGACATGCCTTTTTGCCGACCTGCAATAAGTCGAAAGTGTAAATTTGCCGAAATGCTAATTTGCCGAAATGTCAATTAATCGAAATGTCAATTTGCCGAAAAGTCAATTAGTCGAAATGTCAATTCGCCGAAATGCTCATTAGTCGAAATGTCAATTAGTCGAAATGTCAATTTACCGAAAAGTCAATTAGTCGAAATGTCAATTTGCCGAAATGCCAATTAGTCGAAACTAATCCAACCTAACCTAACCTAACCTGTAAGCATTAGCTTTAGGAACGACTCAGTTTTGTTAGGTAAATTCTACACCTTCCATTTTTGAGCTCCTAAATCCTGATATGATACATACCTACATGTCACCAAAATATAAGAAAAACATAACCAAACCTTACCTAACCTGACATACTGATTTTTGCCTACCCGTTGATAAGGGAGAAGTTACTCACATGAATAGATTGCAGACAATAATAAGTCAAATATTTTTAGGTTAAGTGGTAGTGCATCAGATACACAACCACTTAACCTAAAAATATTTGACTTACCATTGCCTGTAATCTCTCCTAAGGCATTGCCTTCGGCACTGCACTGCTTCGCCACGAGCAATTTGATGTTATTTTCCATATTGTATTGGTGCTTTTAAACTTGTTTGTGCCATGGGTAATTATTAGTTATGAAATCAGGAGGTCAAAGGATGTCATGTGATTTGCTTTTTACTTGGGTATCCGGGATTACACTAAAAGTAAATTGATGATCGATCCTAAAGTAAACAAATAGGTACCACCTAACCTAACCTAGGTTTGCAGATTGACATTTCTTCAACTAATCGACATTTCGGCAAATTTACATTTCGACTAATCGACATTTCGGCAAACTGCCGATTCGGCAGATTGACATTTCGGCAATTGACATTTCGGCAAATTTACATTTCGGCAAATTTACATTTCGGCAAATTTACATTTCGACTAATTGACATTTCGACTAATCGACATTTCGGCAAATCGCATTTCGGCAAATTTACATTTCGACTAATAAGCATTTCGGCAAATTGGCATTTCGGCAAAAAGGCGTGTCGGCAAATGGCATTTCGACTTTTAGCATTTCGACTTTTTGACACGTCGGCAAAAAGCACATCGGCAAAATGACATTCGACGAAATGCATTCGGCAAAATGACATTCGGCTAATCGCCTTTCGGCAATTTGTCCGGACACCGCAAAAATACCATTGAAACAAAAACCGGATCCTGTTAAGATGATTAACAACAATCAGGGAAATGACAAACAGTATCAAACAGAGGTTAGCAGCCGGATGAGGCGCCTGGTGGCCTGACATGGAGGCACAGCCAGAAGCGAGCTGATGCTGTCAACCAGTCCGCTCTGAGGGTCAGGTGCATGGACACGCTCTCTTTCAAATACGCCACCAGCACAATGCATAACTGCGTCAAATTCGGCATTGCACAACGCATAAACATGGTACAAGAATGAGCCAGCGACAACGCTCGGATCAATAACAAGTTGTGCCAGTGCCGCTATGTACGCCTGGCGTAGCCGGTGGGACGAGCGAAAGGCCGCACCGAAACACCGTAAGGTCGAGCCTCGGAGCATCTCGTGAATGGAAGGGACTTGCAACGCAATTAGCAGCGCTGTATGATGTAAAGTTTTAGGAAGTCCCACAGCAGCCTTGATGCTAGCTGCCTGGAACGAGTCAAGGCGCTCTACCTCAGAAGACGTAAGAGGTGACACCTCACACCCGAAGGTCAATGTCGGTATTACAATAGTTTTCCATAGGTAAATCTTATCCCGCGGCGAGAGACGGTTTGTAAGCATTCCTTCTGGTGATAGGCCGAAGAAAGAATGCACCTCGTGCCCGCTTGATACGCTGGGCACGTATCAAGGCTGTTACATGTGGCGCAGCAGATAGCTTCGAACCAAGGATGATTCCGAGGTGCTCCGATTGAGGACGCACATGAAGTATCTGACCAGATAATGTCCAGTTGGGTTCCTGAGCTAAGAGCTCGCTGCCGAATATGATGCAATGTCTGTCTGCCCGTCTAAATATACTACACATGGTACGACACCCGGCCCTGTCGGATCTCTGATCAAATTGAGACATTTTCGGCTTTCCCCATCCCAAGCTCGATAAGAAACGTTCTCCCTCCCCACCCGATTGCTGATGTCAATTCAAATTCAATACCTCATCTCTGTCTGCCAGCCCATAACCCATTTAACCCGCGCCCCGTAGGGGGGGGGGGGGCCGAAACGGCCCCCCCCCCTGTCCTTTTCGGTCGATATCTCCTAAACCGCTTCAGATATCGCCACCAAACTTTCAGGACCCCTCCGGGCATTAATTTTACACATTGTGACCAAAAATTTTTCCAGAGGCTATGATAGGTTGGCCACAAATGACGTCAGAATGACGTCATGTTCTGTCATTTTCGACCGAAAAAAGACCTTCGCGAGAAGACCTGTCAGGCCTACAGCTTTGAAGATACAGAAAAATGATCAAGACATAAAAGGTGTAGAATTGACAGGGCTACAAAACTGCTATCTCGGATTTTTGAAATTTTTGAGTTTTGAACCCCAAAAATCAAAAAAGCATTTTTTTGGATATATTAGCCAAAAAATCCAAAAAGTTTTTTGAGTTTCAAAAAAACCGGAATATATGTGATAGTACCTACCGTCTTCTATCTACATACCGAATTTCAGATCGATACCTCGTTTTTTGGCCAAGTTATAGCGAAAAAACTGTTCAAAATTGATGACGTCAAATTTTCAAACTCAATTTTTGGCAGTTCTAGACCTCGTAGAGCAAAACAAAGACCACCATTAGACTCCCCGTGACGAGCTGCATCGAATCGATACCCATTTTATGCAAAAATATCAACTTTGAAATTTGACCTTATTTGACCTGACCTTGACCTGACCTTCACCAAAACGTGACCTAGGCTGGCCCCAAAGGCTGCCTAACCCACATAATCGCATTTGTCATGTAAAATGGACCATAAAACATGTATCACACGACACTTTCATATTGTGACCCCGGTGACCTGACCTCGCTGTGACCTGACCTGGTATCAGTGACCTCAGATAGCAAAGTATGTGTTTGACGAACAATGTACCATCGATGGTTTTCAATAAATTACCAATTAACTCGATTTCACAACACATTTCTTGAAATGCTTGTGAACGGTGAAAATCTGACCTTTGACCTGACCTGTGACGTCATCGGTTTGACCTAGGTCAATGAAATTTGGTCACAAGGTAGTTCCCGGGTAAGGCTATCGAACGCCGTTTGAATTTTGAAAATCGGCCGGTAACTTTCCGAGATCTTAGGGGGGGGGGGCCGAAACGGCCCCCCCCCCTACGGGTGGTAGGGTCCGCCGGTAGCCCTACGGGGCGCGGGTTAATGCAAACCGTTCAGCGCCCGGCCCCGCCAGAAGTATCCTAGCGCGCTGAGCAGTTGCCTCCAGCCGCTTCATCGCGAGGCCCCGTGCGGCCCATAACTGAATACATTGCGCGAATAGCCGTGTCGCCCCTTGGTCTAACCCAACTCATATCGTCATAAA